TAAATGTTTCGTCACGTATCAGAATTTCACGTGTTGTCTTCTCTCGTTGTCAAATCACACACACACACTATGCTCCTGTCAAAAGTGATGTTTTTTTTACAGGGTGTCATTAGAATATTTTATCAGGGTTGACAATTGTATGAGACTTTCATTGCCAGTTAAAACGCTTATGTTGTAAATATTTATTATTTTGCGAGTATTTGATTGTACCAATCAAACCAAGTACTTTTCCTGATTGAGTTCTGTACCGTTGTTGACACCAAATTCACCAGGTAATTGTAACACGATGTCATAAACTAATTCTGCTGCTGACTTGCCTAAGTCTTCTTTCAATGCAAACCTCAAGCCCAATAAAACTGATGAAAGTAACTGTTGTTTTAAATGTGCAAAGGAATCGTTGTATTATGCCGTTTGCTGCTAGATGGTAAGGAGTCGTACGAATTCGTTCGATTCCCAGTAGGTCGGTGCGAACTCGATCCAGGTGGCAAAGAATCTTGCTGTCACTATATCTGCTATTATGTCTTTGAAAGGTGTTACTTCCGGTCACCGACTGAATCTATCGATCATTATCAGAGCTTGTCTATAACCTCGACATTCTAAAAGAGTGTTCAGGTCAATGTGAATGTGATCAAATCGTTGGTCTGTTTCTGGAAAGATCATTAGATCTGGTTTGGTGTGTTTGCTCGTTGATAGCCTTAACATTGATAAACTCACGACTTCACATCACATCTTCACATCTTTACAAAGCATACTTTGACGTTAATTAATGCAATGTGGCTCTGGCATCAGGATGCAATAACAAGTGTGCCAGATATATCTATTCTCAATAATTTGGGAATGACGGGTCTTATGCGACCATTTGTGGTATCGCAGTATGTGTCCAAAGAGAGATAAACTGCTAATAGCTCCCTATCATTAGAACTGTAATTGAAATGAACTGCTTTTAATTTTGTAGAGTAAAATGATCACCTATTTGTTGTTCAAGAATAGAACCAACTGCGGAACTAGATGCGTCTAGAGCCTTTTAGAGTCTTTTAGAAGACTGTTCAATGGTGCTTGTATTGCTGCAGCTTTTGGAATGCATTTTCGATAATAAAATAATACGCCAAGAAATGGGCGAATTTGATGGTCCGTTTTTAGCTTTTCGTATTCACGTATTGCTTTTATCCGATCTTCTGGAGGCTCTATCCCATCCGAAGTAATGTGATAACCAAGGACTTGCAACGATGGAAGTCCAAACTCGAACTTTGAAATGTTTATGTTTAAGTGCGCTTGCTGAAATTTATGTAAAAAAATGTCTAAATGTTGCTCATGCTCGGTTGCGTTCTTGGAGAAAACCAAAATATTGTCTAAGTAACAAAAAACGAATGGTGTGACTCGAGAATTAAGTCCATATGGGGTAGAAACGTCTTTCACCCCAAATGGCAATACGACGAATTCAAAAATTATCACAAGAGTGCTGAATGCAGTTTTGCAAATATCTTCCAGGTTCATTGAAATGTTATAATAGGCTCTATTAATGTCAATCTTAGAGCATATTGCACTTCCTTGAAGTCGTTCTGACACTAGCTAGATGTACGGTATTGGATACCGATTGGTTTTCGTACTGGCGTTCAACTAACGGTAATCACCTTATGTCTTCCATCCACCTTTTTAACAAGATGGATGGGACTTGACCATGGACTGTTTAACGGTCGTACAATTCTATGCTCCAGTATTGTGCGAAATTCATTACGAATTGCTTTTATTTTTTCGCCAGAGCTTCTTTTTGGCTTTTCTGCAAACGGTTGACACTCTGTTTCAATCTGGTGGCTTACATATGAATTTGTAGGCAGTTTGTAGTTGTTAGTAGTAGATAGCTTAATATAATTGCGAACTATGTTGGGTAACTTGATAGAGGCATTTAAGATGAATATCAAATGTATTTCCGTTATTTGCGGAGCCTGAGACAGATAAAGAGGTTAGAGGATCAATCAGTCGTTTGTTTTTTATGTCTGGGTCTAAACCGAAATTTTTCAAAATATCTGTGCCTATAATTGGTAACTTTACTTTAGCTATTATGAAGTTTCAGTTGAAGTTGCAACGAAGTCCCAAATCAATGCGCATTCTTCGAATGCCATAAGTGTTTATATTATTGACTACATAAAGTTTGATGTCTTCTGGAACTGCATATATGTTTTGTACTGTGGAAACAAATGGAATGATGGATTCTGCTGAGCCAGTATCGACTAAAAAATTTGATTTGGTCATTCTATCACTTCGTGGCATTAGCATCAAAACATGGATGTTAAAAATATAAATTGTTGCGGCTTGCCTGCTGTTCCTTCGACTATGGTGACCAGATCTGACTTCTGATATCAAATTGCTGACACTTGCTGTTAGCTGCTGGACTAAAGTTTCAAATATTAGCACTCTCTATTCTAAAGATGAAACGGTTTCCTTTTCGTGGATCAGTGCACTGTGACGTGACCATAACATACTGCGGAGATGCCATGTTATTCATAATTCGATCGGCCAACTCTGCTTTTTTGTCTTCATTACTTGTATTACTTGCAGACAAAATGTGTCTTAAATTGCTAGGTAGCCGTTGTAGTGCTGACACTTGATCAGAAATGTTTTCGCATTTCTCTAAATAGTTGCGATGGCCGTATGTTTGTCAATAATCTCTAAGTTCTCTAAGTTCGTCAATAATTTCACAATCTGCTTTTGTTTCAGCTCACCAAATCTCTTTACTTACTTCATTTTTGATGCTACATAATTTTCTGCTGTGAAATATACTTTGCAATTTCTGCGACCTGATGTAAAGTGTATGTATCTAGTTCCGATATTACCGTATAAAACATTGACGCATCTGTGATCCGATGCATGAGTAAAAATTCTCCTATTTGTGCATACCACAATTCTGCATCCGACTGGAAAAACAGAGCCAACTTAATTATTCTGACTGCTCCTACGTCCAGCTTGTATTGAAGTTGCTGGTTCGTTTGTTCATTGTTTGAATTCATGTTTGTACTCGCTGACACAAATCACTGATGTCGTTGCTTGTTCTTCTCGAGGTCACCAATGTGATACTTCTATATTACCACTTTATTATCAATTAAAACACTTTTAAATATATGTTGTGAATGTTTATTATTTTGCGAGTATTTATTGTTTTACACGTAATTATATGTGTTTTCTCTTGCTTCTGAAAAGACGCGCTAAATATTAATAGACACTGGACCATTAAGTTAGTTGCTGTTTGTTTTTACATCACGCCAGAGAACGTCGCGCTGGTTAATACGTTCGTCACAGATGGATTCGCCCATCGCAATAAATGACTTTTTTATTTTTAAGTTATTGGTGGTGCCAATTGCTACGTTAAGGCCGTGTGCGAGTTCGAGTAAATTGATGGTATTTCAGCGAATGTTGATATTTATGAGAATTTTGAGTAGGGTAAATTAAATAAAAATTAAACAAATTAGGTGTTACCATTGCGAAAATTGTATGACATAATTTTGAAAACTTTTAAGCAAAAATAAAAAATAAGTGCAATAAATGAATAATATATATTTACATACGTGCAGTGCAAAAAGTCCCTAGGAAATTTAAGTTTACTTTATCTCAATTTAATCGAACTCGCACACGACCTAAATAAAATCTCTTTTAAAATTTTTTAAATACTCATAATAAAGACGCTTTGTTGTAATTTTTTGCATTTAATTAGAAGTTTGTCTATCTTGCTGAATTTGAAGTTTTTACTCAATATTTTTATATCAAAAAATATTCGAACAATGAAAAAATTTCTTACATCAATGGTTGTATATTCTTTTATATATTCTTGCATATAAGTAAGATTCCGAGACTATTCCATGTTACCACTGGTCTTTTTTAGGCAGCTTTGCATATAAGGCCGCTAATGAGGATAATTTACAATACAAAGCGCTTTCATATAAACGAGCTCATTATAAACAAATGAACTCATTCAAGGTAAAAAATGTTGGAAATCGTAGGAAAATTACCAATATTTGAAGTATTTGTTATGTGTTTTATATGTAAAATGTATATGAATAAAAGCTGAACTATAAACAAACGTGCTGAGAAAGTATTTAAAAAACTCTTTGTTTTTATTAATTATATATGTAAGGCTGCGGTTACATTGCATGCGAACTTTGTCTTGCGTGTTCGTACGTATGTTTTTTCGTGCGAACACGTCACTTGTTGCAGTTACATTGCTTGCGAATTAATAGCTCTGCTATGTTTGTTTTGAAAACAAAACGGATAGTGAAGATTATTTATTTTAGGGCATTTTATTTTTGCTTTACATATTAATTTTTAAGCACTACTTGTTTTATTGAAGCATTTATGTCAAAGAAATACACCTAATAACCGCTCATTTCGTTTTGCATTAAAAGCAACAATTGCGCGACGTGACTTCAGTCATAAGATGCCTCTAGCTTGACTTAATCGCATGGTAAATTACGAGTCAAACCCTTAAATATTATTCAAGCCTATATATTCTGTCATATGGATTTATGCTGCGTATATCTATGCATATTTATGTAATGATTTGTTTAATATGTAGTTATAAAATCATTATATGTGTAGTGCAATCTTAAATGAACGCAATGTTTTTTTGAATTAACTTATAGAGAAAACCGCCCTTCATGTTATATTTTAAGCAAAATAAACAGCAATTTATATTCATATGCGAATATGTGTACGAATAGCCCAAGTAAAATTTTTAAAATGTTTTACAAGTTAGTATGGTAACAATGCAAAAATAATCTGTTTCTACGTTCTTCGTCATAAATTCTTTGTTAATGTTTTTAAAGTGTAATAAACATTTTTATCCAAAACATAAAATAAAATTCGTTAATAATATATTTAATTTTAAAAACATAAAAATTTTAGTAACTATAGAGTGTTTCATATTGGCAAATATTCGTTAAAATGGCGTCAGGATCATTTGAACTATTGGAATTGAAAGTGTAAATGAGTTAGGGTAGGAAAGAGATAAATATAGTTAATTTTGTAATCGAGAAATTGTGTTAAAGAAAATTTGAGCTAAACGTGAAATGTTCTCGACGACTAAAATAAAAGTTTTGTAATATGGAATTTATAGTAACATAAAATAAAATAGCAAATGAGCTTAAAAAGTGATTGTTAAATTCAGAAATTGTAAATCTGAGAATAAATTTATAGCACTAAGTGTAAAACCGGTTGATAATATCAAAGCTAAGAGGCAAGTTTGGTGGTTTTCCATTTTTCTCATTGTTTAGTGAAATATGTTTTCAACGTTGGTTTTAATCATATATATTTAATATTTTTGTGTACGTATATTTTGTGTTCTAGTGCATTGGGAACCGCCCGCTTTTCTATACAACTTGTACAAAAATTGTAAAGCAATTTTTTTGTTTATAATTCTGTTAGTTAATTTCTATACAAACAAAAACCATTGTTTACCAAATAAAATATAAACATAATGAAAAATATTTGAAAAAAATGTAACAATGAGAGCCCCATTTAAATATCCTTAATTGTAATATCGTATTTTTGGATACGATATTCCAGCAGGGCTAAAACCCTAATTAGATAAAAAAATTTGAAAATACTTAATCACCTATTATTAGTCAACGTGAAAGTGACTACATAGTATTAAATGAAATTCCTTTTTGTTTTAAGATGCATTAATTACTAGCACTTGTGCATTCTTTATTTTTTTTTTTTATTGTAAAAATTAAATAATTTATATTGAAAATGAATAAAAAATGTTATAAATACTCAGTTGTCTGTATTTTACGTTTGTTAACTAAACTTAGCTAATATTTATGATTAATACATTAATGTGACCTTTTTTTTACGGTGCATATTTTAAAATGTCCACAAATATATATGTACATACAGAAGAATTGATACCATTACACAAATTAATCTCTTTAATATGAGTATCGGAAAATCTTAAAAGAATTTTAATCTGAAGAGTCGTAAATAAGCGTGGGAATCAAATACGCATTTCCTAATAAACATCTATGTTAAAAAAACCAAATTAAGGATAAAATGCTACTTTATTGAGTTTATTTTCTGTTAGCAGTATGTTCGCCACTTTCAAAAAGTTCACAATAGACTTTTATGGCGTTTTCGTTTGATAAATCTGGATTCAATCTAGATTTACTCCCAATCTGTCAAATTTCGTTGCCCAATCGAACATTTTTAGAGTAACCTAAAATTTTTGTAGTTGCTAGAAGGGATTTATATTTTTCATGAATACATATGGCGAATTAAATTACACTTTAATTGTTAAGTCATATAAAACAGCTGTGAATTTCAGAAATTAATCTCAAGTGCTATACATTAAGGCTCGAGATTCACTAATCGAAAATAAAAACTGCACTAAATATGATCTAGAGAGATTTACTAATCGAAACGACATTAGCAACAAACAAAGGATAAAATTACATCCAATATTAATATATTTTTATGAAATTCAAAAATGTTATTGCTATATCTAGAATAAATCTAATAGGCTATCATGTAAATGGTTAATATCTACTATAGCTGTTACATCTTCCGCTCTGATCAGTGTCATCTCTTCAGTATAATATTTTGTATACTCTGGGTTTTGCGAAATTGTTCTAATCGTGGAATTGTCAAGATATGTCGCTACACCATTCTCCAGCTCTAAAGCTATATGTTGGTAGCACTTTCATATTTTTAAAATGCTTTTCCTCATTCTAGTTATTGTGTTCTTCAACAATTATTCCAATAAAAATAATTTTTGGAAAATCATTTTTTAAAAAAAACTGAAAATGATTTGTTTCAATGTAGCTATGTGTTGGGTTTTTTGTAAAATATTGATTTCGATGCAATGTATATTATTTTCTTTAGCACATTGTATAAAAATCAGTAATTCAAATATAACTTTGATAGGACATATTGTTTTGCACTATTCATAGATTTCCGTAGAACCTTTGCTCTATTAATCAAAATATACAACTACAACAAAATTTATGTGCAGAATATATCAACAGGAATAATTCAAGGAGAAATCCTCAACTAAGGATTACTGTATGTAATATTCGTTCAGTTTTACCTACTGTGACGAACATAATTATTAGCACAGCAACCATATTGAACTGCCCCGTTAATGACGCGATTAACACAAATTTTTTTTTAGATTATATGATTAATCTGCAATTAATTACATTTAATATCATTGTATTATTATTAATAATATAAATTAATTTTATTAAAATTAAAAAACCAGAACAAAATATTAAATTAGGCTGAACAAAATTATTGACACACCTTATGAAAAATTTAAAAAAAATATTTATGGTGAAAATTAATATTTAGTGGTCAAGTTCTTCTGTTTAATAACAGCTACTATTTGCTTTGGCGTCGAAGAAATTAACTTTTGTGGGGTTTTTGGAGCAATATTTTCAGCAGTGTCAGCTTCAGTTCTGCCTTTGTTATAATGGGCTTCTTTGGACGTCTATCTAATTCTCCCCACAAATGTTCAATGGCGTTGCGGTCTGGAGTTTGGGGCGGATGCTATAATGTGTGTTTTGTATGATGCGCGAGTCACATACGCACATCATTAGCTGTATGTTTTAGGTCATTGTCATATTGGAAGCTAATCGAAATCATAAACCAACTGTACAATAATTGAATTAATTAATTATATTTTTATTTTTGATTGTTAAATTTCATTACTATTCTGTTTGTAGAGGCAATATTATATTTATTAAAAATTTAATATAAAAGAGAATATAATGCAATAATGTAATTTTAATTGCAAATTAAGCATCTTACTTAAAAAAATTATTGGTTAATTAAATATCGCATCATCAAGTTCAATATCCTTGCTGTGCCAATAATTATGTTTGTCACTGTATGTATGTTTTCATTTATCATTCGTACAGATGTTTGTTTGTTGCTCATGGATTTTATCTTTTCTACGTGATTTTTATGATATTTATCTTTGGGTGCATAGATTGATTTAATAAGAAATTTAAATTGACTAGACAAGGTAGGGTTTTTATACCAGTCAAATAAGATTGTTGTTTTCTCTATGTGTTATTGGTTTAACAGTACGCAAGAGAGTTGTCTTTTTCTATTTCTACAGTGAATCGTAGTTTTTTTTTGGTATGAGTTCAGTTTAAGTACAATAGATTTATTATACTGTTTTTGAACTATTACTAGGACGTTGTCTACATATTTGAAAATTTATCTGATGCAGACGTTGTCGATCATGACTATCAGTAGGGCAACTATTGGCCTAATAACACAACTTCACCAATTTGTGGTGACAAATAGTTTACTACGGGCGTGACGAAAACTTTATTCTATTTTAATGAAATGGGATATTTGAATAAGAAAATTGACAAGGGATATAGGAAATCTTGTTACTTATAACTCATCTTTGATTTTTATACTTTCCAATTTGTTTTCAAAGCCCATTACATTTTTGATATTGCATTTTAGAAAATTTAAAAAAAAATTTTTTTTTTAATATTGATCAAAATCTATGAAAATTCAATATTAAAATTCTTAAGTACAATTACTGAATATAAAAATATTCATATAGAAATAATGTAGAAGAAATTAATTTATTTGTTTTGAGTTTATCATATTATATTTATCATGAGAAAAACTGTCGCAGATTTTAAACTTTGTAAAAACACCTGAATTCTTTGACAATATACGGGAGTAGTTTTTGAACACAACGCTGTTGTCAAAAACTATTTGTGAATAGACCGCTGTGAAATTTTATTAAGCTGTGTTATTAAATTAATTTAAGTTTCACAGTTATTGAAAGTAGATAGCTTTTCAAATTTAAACGAAAATGGAAAAAAGTGAATTTCGTGTTCTTAAGCAGTATGAGGACTTTACATCAAAAATTTTAAAGATTATGAAATAGTTCACTTATTTTCGTTCTGGTCGTACTAAAACAACTGACGCTGGACGTTGTTGGTTACTCAAACATGGTTGCTATTCTAGATATTGTCAATGAAATCCATAGTGTAGTACTAGATGATCCGCCACAAACCTTAATTGACGACCATCAAGATTATGTTGTGCATTTGGTGGAGAATGGAGGGGCATTGTCTAACAAAATTCGCTTCAACTTGGTTGAACAGTTAATTTGGTCCTCTACTGCTCAATACTCGACCGCTTGAACTGAACGACACAATCAATGAAAAGGGACCAGAATTGGCCAACAGAAAAGAAGTTGTGTACCATGCCTGCCACTTCTTTCATTTCTTCTTCTTATACTTCTTACTCACTTGCAGTGTCAGCAGTCGCATTTATTAACAATAAGCTTATTCCCACGTAATTTTCAATTTCAATCTTGAATACTACAAATTTTTCTTTAGTAATACTTATAACCATACTTTTCGAGTTCCCATAGCATCTCTACCGCCTCACATTTTTGTTATTCTTGCGTGTATTATTTTAAGAAATAATTTTAAACTATGGCTGAGTATGCTTATTAAGCGAAACTCATCACATTTTCTAGAATTTTTCTTTTTGGGTAGCGCTATGAATGTCGATCGTAGCCAGTCATATGGGTATATAACAGTGTTGAATATATTATTGAATATTTTTTATAAATATTTGATACTTTCGTCTTCAAACAATTTTATTATTTCCGCAGGAAGATTATCAGGTCCAGAAGCCTTATTATTTTTTAAAGATTTTATTGGCTTTAAAATCTCAGATTTGCTTATCATTGGTCCAGACATACATATTAAATTTCTTATATTTCGTATTGGTTCCCTTGTGCTATCAGAAAATAGTTGTTCAATGTATTCCATCCGCATAAAGGTTCAGTTAGACGGTAGTTAACGTAAGATGTTAAGAAGAAACGAAATGAAAATTTCGCTTTAAGTTAAGGCGGTGTTAGACGGTAAGTAAGCAGCTGACTTTGTTTACATTGGAACATGCAAATGAAATATTTTCAAAAGTTCCAGTCGGTAGTTGAGTGTCCGCAAGTGTAGTGAAATTCTGTGTTATTTTTGTTGAAAGTGAAATAATTAACAATAGTTTAAGTAAATTATTAACAAATATGTATAATCAAAATGAATTGACTGTGCAAGCTTGTAATTTGTTTCTAAACATATTGCGCTTGTACAGCATGAGAAATCAAATGCGCAATAGAAGGTGGCGAGTTCGTCCTATTAATGTGGATCGTGCTCTACATGGCTATTACCGAAAAACGTTTTTAGCCATAAAAGAAAA